ACACAGGGTTTTGGAAGGGAAATAATTTTTAAATAATGCGCGCCAATTTCGGTCGAACGTGAAAGTTTTGCTCACAGTTTTCTTCGATTACAGGGGCGTGGTGAATCATGAGTTCTTGCCATAGGGTAGTATGGTCAATAAGGAATATTACCTGCAAGTTATGCGCATTGCGCGAAGCAATCCGCCAGAAACGTCCGGATTTGTGGAAGAACAAAAACTGGCTTTTGAACCATGATAACTCCCCTGCTCACATCGTTGCTTGTGCGCGAATATTTATCCAAAAACAACACAGTAATGGTCCCACAGCTACCGTATTCCCCAGACCTGATCCCCTGTGACTTTTTCTTGTTCCTAAACCTGAAGAGGCCCATGAAAAGACGACGCTACGCTACGATTGAGGCGATAAAGACGGCATCGAAGGAGCTGAAGAAGATCACGAAAAATGATTTTTTTAAGTGCTTCGAGGATTGAAAAAAATGTTAGCACAAGTGCATTATATCCGAGTGGATTACCTTGAAAGAGACAAAATACATATTCATGAATATATAGATAAATACTTATTGAATAAGTACAAAATTCGCGATACTTTTGGAACAGACTGTGTATTTACTCTAAATGCGTCCTGATATACAGCTGTTTAATATCACCTATATGTAAAAAATACAAGCAGAGTAGAGTTCAATTAAAAAGTAAAGTAACAACCCATATAGCCCACGATGAGTATAGGCATTCTTGTTTTGTTACCACCGTAAGTTACCAATAATTGGTGATGGAGTTTGCTTATTTAGGGCAATCTCTTATTATGTTGTATAGAAACCAAGTATTGACTAGAGAAATTCGGTATCAAATTGTGGATAACGTTATTTTGGTCAATTTGTTGTTTTTTTAAATATGATGCACAAGCGTATAGTTTGCCCAATTCCTTTCTTAGTTCAATTGTGGGTCTGTACATTAGTTTATTTGTAAGCCCTTACTGAATTATTTTTCTCCCGATAAGTGTCTTTCTGGATCTTCGCGATAATCAAAAGTACAAATAAACAATTGTAAATTTTCCTAAGAAAAGTTGGAATAACGCTTCTACTATTTTTTTGAGCCCAGTTTGCTCGCGTACTGTGAAATTTACAGTGAGCGCTAACCATCTGAGCTACTACGGCTCGTTACCACGGCTACTGTTACCACGGCTTTTCGAATTATCTCAATAAAATCTTTTTGTAGTAAATAAAGTTATTTTATTGTATCACTATCTTATAAAGTGCGTGGTGCATCACGTCTCGATGTGAGCTAACCCTGAGTGTCAAAAACACAATTTTTTTATTTTTTTATTTAGTTATTACTAGTCAGACACTTATGGCTAGTGTTGGCCATATTGAGGGAAATGGCGAAAAACAAAACGCCGCTACAAGCATAAACCTTTAATATTGCAAGTTTAATATTGTGTTTATATATTGATATTTTGTACGTAAATTTTAAGTTATTATTATTGTGTGCTCTGTTATTTTGAATTTTATTTGATTGATGTTAATATGTTTAAATTTTACTGTGCATAGCAACATAAAATTCAATATTATTCCAAAGTATAAGATTATTGATACCTATTAGTAAATTAATTTATGTGCAATTAGACACTCATTTTTATGTATTTACAATATGGGATTCGAGGAATTTCAGGACGGCAGATCGCCATTCGTGACGGTGGATTGGTAGGAAAAATAAATCAAATTCAATTTTGGATAATTTAAAATAATAGTAGAAGCCTTATTAACCCATATTTTCAAAAACTGCAAAAACGGTATGTCATCATTATTTATATATTTGAACTTAAGTTTAAAATTTGGCTACTATTTGAAAAATAACCCTTTAAAGAAAGTAACAAAAGTGTAAAGTTTCATGTGCTCTTGTATTTACATTTTCCCATCCTCTATATATCAACTTGTCCCCACCCCCATGGATCATCGGCTGGCGAAACCCTTGATGTTCCATAACATGTTCAATAATATGGAACAGATATGTTTTGCAGTAAATGGCATTCAACAATGAAATTAAATACAATCATACTAAGCTAAAATTACATTTAATGTCCGAATACAATCTGGACGTATTCAAGGCAAGATTGAATAGACTTTTGTTACGCTAAGACTAAAAAATCCACTGACCATTAGGTGGACTTTGTACTTGTTACTAACCTTAACGTGCAGAAGTAAAATAATTTGTTTTTAAAGTTATTTTATTTCAATTAATTTTGGATTTCTAGGTATTTTAGATTTTAGCTACGAGGCTACGAGTGGTTTTTAACCGTGTAGTAGTGGTGTAACGATATCCACTACCTTATATGGTCTTGGGTGTCGTAAGAACCAACAGAGGGAAAATTAAACTTCCTGATAACAACTTTTTATAATAAAAACTGCGGTTGCTAACCTAAAATCAATCTTATGAGGCAATCTATAAGTATGTTCTGTTTTAATCAGTGGCCTGTCGTTGGCTGTAAAGGATGGGTGAATGTAGTGATATTCGGAGTAGTATAGAAAAAAGTGTAAAAGTTACGAAAAAAAGCGTACCCGTATGTATTCGTTATTATAACAATTAGTACTCGTTACTATCGTACCGTTACGTTACTCGTTACTTCTAATAACACGCTATGTATGTTAGAGCATCGAACCAAGTCGTATTGCGTACGTGTAGAGTATGACGTCGATGCACCATTCGTAATTTGTAGAAAACACACATATATAACAAACAAACATTACTTATCAGACTAAACCAGACCTGTGTTTAGGTTATTCTAAATTTAGTTTGATTTAATAGGTTAAGTGTAAATAATAATAAACCGAATATAAACAATTAATAATATTTCATAATTGACAGCTTTTGTTAACCAAGAAACAAATAAATCTCATTAGAGCGGCTTTATTATAATATCTCTTTTAAGATAAGAACGAATAAAACATGGAAATACGCGATATTAAAATACAAAAAATACACATTTCTAATTTGTAAAAAAATACTTTCTTACCTTGTTTCTGTTCCAATCTAAAACTTTTCCACACACATCTTTAATAAACAGTAAAAATCTTGGACAATGAATTTCCAAATTATACTTGACTTAACAAATAAACATCGCTCTGTGTAACGTACGTTTTTAAATTCACCGAATAAGCGTGCGCATGCGTAAAACACACGATCAGCAAATGTTTCAATACACGCATCAACTGTACTTGCGTGTACTGAAACAGTGTAGGTACCAATACTATTAGAAAAATACGAGTAACGAAATGCATTCGTGTTTAACGTTTCGTTACCTACTCTGTACCAGTCGGCGCACCAGTTACTCAGTTCCGAATACACACGGTTTGCTACAGCTGTAGTATAGAAATACAGAAAAGCTTTTGAAAAACTGCCACAGATAAAACAATGAACGTATATGCAAAACGTTATTGAGTTCTGTGAAATCAGATTAACCATTCGTTGTTGAATACATCGGACATAATACAAAGGAAAATGCTGCTACGTAGTTCTTGTTTGAAACTGATAGTGCAGTTCGTAATTCCATTATATACCGAATACGTTTAGTTGTAAATCCGTATTATCGTGTTTATTGTTAGAGCACTGTGTCTACTTCAAACAGCAAGTTATAGTAATGTATTTTATCATAATTTTATAACAATAGCTTTGTCTTTTTAATAAGAGAGTAAGTAGTATAAACTTACAGCATAAATAAGCTATTAAAGTATTGTAAATTAATGTTTAAAAATGAAAATAATGTCCCTCGGGGTTTTAGTTTGTAGCTGGTAAAAGCATAGTTAAATTCCAACAAGTATTCTCGTAATCTATATTGATTAAAAATTATTCTTATCCATTCCAAAGGCATTAATTAAAATATAATTAAAGTAGATATAATTTTTAACAGCCGTGGGAGCTCAGGGCTAAGCGCTCACTGTGAAATTCACAGTACGCCAGTAACAGGGTTTCATCCTCGCCGGCACTAATAGAAACGGAAATTTTTTATTCAATGTAGATTATAAACAATACTTATTGAAAGTCAATTTTTTCATTTACCACTGGTTCGCAAAAAAAAACCTCTGTCCTGGGAAGAACCCGTAAGAAAGCCAGCGGGACTATTTTTTTTTCCAAATATTAGCTTACAATCATGTTTAAAATAATTAACAACACAAGACAAATTAGAAATAGTTTTGGCGATCACCTTTCCCAGGGGTTATTATCATCCATAAATTCCTTAATATTATAATAAAAAAATAGTATAAATAATAAATAAATAAAAACTAAAAACAAAAAATAAAAAAATAATATAATAAAATAGTTAATTGCTACTATAAGTGTTGATTTACCACTTGCACTCACCACTCAGCGGTTAAGAAAAAGATCGTGAGGAAACCTCACGTCCGCATGTCTAAGAAATAAGACAAAAATATTTCGAAGACGTGAAGTTTGTCAATAGGTCTTGGGGCAGTGCGGCGGACATTTCTTTCCTCTAAAATCCGTTTAGAAATGAGTGGAAGCTTGTGCTCAGTAGTGGGACGTATACAGACGGCAACTTTAACAACTTTTTAACATGAAATCAATGATTTAAGCTTTTTGTATATTAATCTCATAGCTGCCTTTTATCACCTCGAGACGAAATGCGGTGATAAATTCTCTTGAGTATGGCTTAAGAGATTCCACCGCCCACACGACTTATCACCCTTACTTATAACTTATAAGTAACTTAATACTTACCGCTACAAAGGTCCACTGCCTCTCAATCAGTGCTTCCAGATCCCAAAAGTAAAATTACAGTGTTGCCAGTTAAAAAATACAGGAGTTTCTAAAAACAATACAGTAGATTTCAAAATCAATTACAGTAAAATTACAGGAAACACTTTGTTTAAATATTGATAGAAAAATAAGCTGCTTTATGACTCTTTATCAATACAAATTGCTATAAGTTATTAAATAAATAAAAACATATATTTAGATACAAGAAAAAACATTTATTATTGATTTACTTATTCCAGAACAATTTGCTCATGATTTTCATAAATCTTTGCTGTCATCCTTGAAATCATTTCCTTAGTTGGATTAAAATTCACGCAATTTTCGGAAGTCCGCCGAATGGCTTGCTGAGCTAGCATGTTGCCTTTGATGGTATTTGTGACTAAACAGTTTCTCTGCTTTGTTTTTATATTATTTATTTCACTAAACTTTCGTTCGCACTCAGCGTTCGAGTGAGGCAACGATAAAACTTGGAGCATAAAACGAGGCAGAAAATGATATTTATTATCTCCGTTGCTATCTTTGATTTGAGACAACTGAAAAAAAAACAAATCTGTAAAATGTAAACATATGTGCAATATTATACGTAAAGTTCTTAAGTGATAAAATTTTACCTGATGCCAAAACACGTCTGCTGGTTGATTTGTATTCAAATGTTGTTCATCCGCAGTCAACATTAAATTTCTCCATTCATCATCTAACGTCTGTTGATCATTTAAAGTTTGGGGTTTAAGCCTTGGCAGCACTGGGAACAGCGAAGACAAAGACTGTAGTCTATTATCAGATAAGCAAGAATCGGGATCCAACTTTGCGATTGAGCTCAAAACTGGGTCATTCAAACTGTATCTTTTCCGAATACCCACGCATGCTTTAACGATAAAATTCAGGCATTTCTGTTTCATCACTGTAACTTCTTCGGTACTTACATGTAGCTCTGGGACAGCAACTTGATTAGCAACACCCAATCCCAGGTATATATTTTTCAGATTTATGTAATGTTGACTATCAGTAGGGTCAATTGCGTCGAGTGGGGTGTTCTTTAAATGATTCGGAGTTATGTATAAGGATAAGAGTTCTCTGTATAGCTCTTTCATTTTGTTATGGGCTTCTATAATAACCGGATCTTCGCTTTGAAAATATACATTGACGCGGGTAAACTTTGGCAACATCCAACATAAAAAATAAAAATATGCCTTGATGATGTGATCATTCAAAAGAATATGAATGGCTTGGCAATCTTGGTCTTCCAGCCATTTATCGTCAAAGTACAATCGCAAAGCGTCCCATTGCTCCATAATTCTGTTCACAACACTGGAAAGAGACAACCAACGCGTTTGGGCTGGACGTAGCAATTTGTGTATGTTAGTGTCTGTAAATACTTGAAATTCCTTTAACTCTGCTTGACGTTTGCTACTATTTTTGAAGTAATTGTATATCATTCGAGTCAGTTTTTCTGCATCGTGGGGCAATTCTTTGCAAGCGTCGGAACCACCAGACGTTCCAGCTTTTTTGTCATCAAATATTTGAATAAGGTCCCAGAATCGACTGACGATACGTCCTAAATTAGGATCATAATATTTGACTACAACTACAACACACATTGTTTTCACACTGGCAACATCGGTACTTTCGTCTACCATTATAGAGAACTTTTCGCGTTTTAAATCTTCGACTAAACATTCTCCTTCAGAAGCCCCGATAACGTTATTTATTATTGCTTGTAATTTAGTGTGTTTAAGTTTGATATTACTTGCGATTTTAGAATCTGGAAAAGCTTTTGGAAGTAAATCAACGAGATGATCCATCACTATGTGCGATATTTTATGTTCTGCCATAAAAGCCGATAATTTTAATTCTGTAATTTTCCGCTGATCATCATCACTTGCGCGTTGCTGACTTTTAAAAATATTATCAATGGTACGCACATGCGATAGGGCAGGAAGACGAAGTTTATGCTTAGCACCTTCACTGTGTCTTTTAATAGCACCCAGATCGGCAATCAAAGAAGAATCGCAAACAGTGCAAATGCATTTATAAATCGACTTTTTATCACGCTTTAACCACTTACGGTAGTCTTGTAATTGAAGCCATTCATCACGGAATTGTTGCCGATATTTCTTTTTAGCTCTTGACGGACCAGCATCGCTACGCACATCACTTTCCTCACTGCTTGAGCTCATTTTTACAGTAATAAATACAGTGAAAAAATTATAGCGAATAAGTTTTTAGTTTAAATTTTATTTCACATCACCCAAAACAATTAAAAAGTTTAAATCTCAATTAAAATGTATGTACAATGGCAAAACTACTTTAAGTGTAATGAATTAGACGAAAAATACAATGTTCCTTTGTAAGACAGTTAAAACAAGTAACAAGAACCTACTTATGCTAGTTGCGTCCCAGAGTGCTCCACGTTAGTTCCGATTTGCCAGGGAATTCCCCGCAACTTTGTTACAAACTTACTGTACATTGTCTATGGATAATGGCGCTAGCACTCTTATTAGTTTGTGGTTCAGTGGGTGTAGATCATAGATAAATAAATTTGTAGCAAGGTAGTGTATTAGCATCATATTAGTCTGTGGTAGTGTAGATTAGCTGCGTTCTGTTTTACGTATTAGAATTGATAAAGCTATATGAAAATTAAATACAGTATATTCCATACACTGTATTTTATCATTACAGTATACAGTAGAAAAGTCTAAAATACAGTAAATCTACTGTAATTACAGTGAATCTGGAAGCACTGAAGACCTCTTGGTTACTACGCTTGACAGTGGATTGGCAACCACAATTTTTTAATGTTTTGTTGGTAGTTTTTAGTAAGACGCTTCTACCCAACTCCTGCTTTGTTACCTTCTGTCGTCTAATATGGGCAGTAGATATTCTTACTTCGTAAGTAAATCAGAAATTACAATTATGAACATAATTATATTACAGATATATTTTGAGTGCTTCCTTCAAAGCAACGCTTGCGGCGGACGTGACCCGAATATATTCCTACCCGGCACGTGTATCAGTACGCTGTATAATAAATAAATAGGTCGTATCATGAACATCATGACTGAATATATACTTCTCATCAAAAAAAAAATCGAAACACCTTGCAAGTTTATGTTTTGTAAGGATTATCAGTTTTTTATTATTATTTACGAAAAAATATCAAATGTCTCTTAATAGTGAGTTTTATGAGGTTTTCAAATTCTAATGTTATTGTTCTAAATTCAAATTAAATTTTCATAGGTTTCATGTTTTCTTTAATGAGTCATTTTTATATTGTATGGAGAACGAAGGCAATGAATGAAACAACACACGTAGATGAAAAAAAAAACTGAAAAACTTTTATTAAATAACGTTTAATAACTAGTGTTCCCTCCTCGAGCTCTTATCACCGCTTTCATCCGGTTTTTCATCGATCGGATTAGAGTTACGATGACATGCTGTGGGTTGTTGTCCCATTCTTCCTGAATGGCACTTTTCAGCTGGTCAAGTGAGTCTGGGGCAGGATCTATCGCTCGGATTTGCCTCTTTAGTTGTTCCCAGAGATGTTCAATTGGATTCATGTCCGGGCTCCTTGCTGGCCATGCCATTATGGAGATACCGACTTCGATAAGGCGTTATCGTGCATAAATGTGAACCAGTTGCCGATAAAGTGTGCATAGGGCATCACGTGAGGCTCCAGGCACTGTTCCACGTGCCGATGACAGTTCAAAGAAGGTAGACGTGGCCCAGACATGAAGGCAAGCTGTGTCTTACCGTCGGCGCTGATTCCTCCCTAAACCGTCCACGAACCACCACCATAACTGACCCTTTCTTCAATGCAGCATTATGCAAAGCGTTCTTCATCTCTTCTGTAGACCTTGTTCCTTCCGTCTTTATCATAGAGCATGATTTTACATTCATCAGAGAAGAGAACTTTGCTCTATTGGAGGTATGACCAATTTAGGTGCTTGCGTGCAAAGTCAAGGCGCGCGCTCTTCGATGGTCTGCAGTTAATTTCGGTCCATTTGCTGGCTTGTGTGGCAATCCACGTTCTTTCAACCTTCTTCTAATTGTAGAGTCACTTACAGCGACCCTTCGTAAAACTTCAAGCTGCTGCTGCAATTGAAATGCATTTAGGCGCCGGTTTCGTAAAGAAGTAGATACAATAAATCGATCATCTCTCTCAGAAGTGACCCAATTCCTCCCAGATGCAGAACGGCGCGTGAACATCCCAGTCTCTCGATAGCGGTTGTAGACTCTATGAATAGATGACAGACTTAGATGCAAGGTTCGAGTCACAGCACGCTGACTAAGTCCAGAATCCAGCAATGCCACCACTTGGGCGGCTTCTGTGGGCGAAGTATCCATAAGTTTTAGGAAATAAAACTTTCTTCAGACGTCTTAAAGTCACAGTAAACAAATTAAAAACAAAAACGTTAAAGATAAACGCAAATTTTTAGTTTTAAACGTGAAATGGTCTCCAACTGTAGACGCACATTTGTCTCAAAATAGTGATTCATTTCATTTAGAGGATAAACAAATGAAATTATAATTTCGAATTTTGAATTTTGAATTTTCACTTACCATTGTAATGGCCAGATTGCCAGCTATATAATAACCTTTTTTTTTATGGAATGAAAACTCTTTTGTATTAAATTAGGTCTTTCAATTTTTTAACAAATTAAAACGAAGGTAAGAGAAGTATATATGAAAAGAACAAAACATTAGTTTTCTTTATACAGATGCTTGTAAAGAGCATACACACTCATAAACACTCACGCCTGTAACTCAGAGGGATAGACAGAGACGGACGGATGAACGGACTTACATTTGACACGATCCTGACCCATTCTCGCCCCCTCTACATCAAGACCGTCGGTTAAAGGTATTCTTAATATGGCCCATTTTCAATATATCACCAATTTGGTCGATAAACTTTCGTCTAGAGTGTCACTTCCCGTCTCTTCAGTTCCGACTAAACCACCGAAGTATTCCTTTCTTAATCCTGGACAAGACATCATCTTGTAAAAGACACTTTTCTCTTACACACTATTTCTTACCATAACAATGTATAGAACATTTGTTATTAAATTAAAGACATGTTAAGTGCGTGTAACCTCGTAGTGGCGGTGTAAGAATATCCACTCCCATGTCGTCCCGTGGGTGTCGTAAGAGGCGGCAGAGGGAAACTGAAACAGGAGATGGGCAGCAACCCACCTGCCAAGCATGGTAGTGACGGCAAAATTCTCACTATGAGACAGTCTAGGAAGAGGGCTATCTAACGCTGCTGTGTTGCAATTTTATAGGCTGTAATAGATGGATGGATTTTTTATTTATTGCATCTGTACAGCCCACTGCTAGATATGGCCCTCTCCCGTCTTTAAATATAACATGTAGTGACGCCGTAGGCTCGCGTACTAACCATGACCCGGCACAATTCCACGCGGGTCCGTTTTATAGAAGAGGTGGCAAACGAGCATGCAGCCCACCTGATGGTAAGTGTTGATCGCCGCACATGAACAACTGCAACACCAGGGTAATTGCAGGTCCGTTGTCGGACTTACAAAAATGAGTAAGGATCTGCTTCTGATTGGTTTTGGCATCGGTTGTGCGGCACCCAACGCGAAATCAGCCTCCGTGAGAAGTTGTTCGTGTACAATCTCGTGAACACCGCCTGATCCAATCTGCAATTTGTACTAAATCTTTTTCGTTATAGAATAAGCGTAACGAATGAGCACACAGTCCATCTGATGCTAAGTGGATGCTTTTGCTTATAGACATCTACATGTATCTTCGACTATGAATCAAAATGCAGATGCGTTATCGCTTGTAAGGACTAAGGTGGAATAAAAAGTCGAATGAGTCTCTCGCCTTACGATATTCGCCTCTCTTTTCAGTTAAATTTTTCACTGCTAGCACATTTACTTCCGTAAAAGCTGTCAAAAGGCGTCCCATTTTTTAGGGTTCCGTAGTCAACTAGGAACCCTTATAGTTTCGCCATGTCTGTCTGTCGTTGTCGCCTCGCTTAATCTCTGTGACCGTTAGTACTAGAAAGCTGAAATTTGGTACCAATATGTGTATCATTCACGCCGACAAAGTGGTAAAATAAAAATATGAAAAAAATGTTTTATTAGGGTAGCCCCCCTATATGTAAAGTGGGAAGTGATTTTTTTTTAATTTCAACCCTAACGTATGATATATTGTTGGAAAGGTATTTAAAAATGAATAGGGGTTTACTAATATCATTTTATGATAATGTCAATAATTTCGCAAATAATCGCTCCAAAAGTAACAAACAGTGTGTCCCCCCCCCCCCTCTAACTTTTGAATCATAAGTTTAGAAAATATGAAAAAAATCTGAAATGTAGAACTTTATAAGGACTTTCTAGGAAAATCATTTTGAACTTGGATGGATGCGAACATAATTGATACCCACCTTTACACTCATAAGTGGGAACACTTATTGTGACGGACGGGAAACTACGGAACCCTACACTGAGCGTGGCCCGACACGCTCTTGGCCGGTTTTCTTCATCTCTTAAAGTAAGTCGAACGTGCTGACATTTGTAAGACCAAAGTATATGATTGCCTTAGAAGAGCTTTTATCCATAAATGCCATTTGAAGTCTATGAAAAGATTCGTTCTATTAAACGTAGGGTGAAAATGTTCCCGGCGCTGATCCATTTTTCAATGAAATACTGTATTTCAATTCAGCTCATTTATATATCTTAACTCATGCATAATCTTGTTTTTAAATAAACACATTTGTATTTTGATTTTTAATCCAGGATTAATGTATGTGCCTATGGACCACAACATCCAACACCTTCAGGTGAACTTTGTGCTCGTTTGTTACCCTTATTCTAAAAAAATGACTATTGTAGCCCATGAACTACTGCGGCAGGGGGATGAGTCGTTCGCGTCCGTAGGCTTCGACCACCTAACCTTAGGCCCATCCTACACGTGTCCCCCGGGTGGTGCTAAACGAGCGACAAAGCCGATAAAATAGACTCGGCTCCTCGCCGTATGGTAGCGGCGTAAAATCTACCACCAACCCTTGTTCGCACCATGACTCAAGAAATAAAAGAAATGGCCCCGAGTTCCCGGCGCCCTTTAAATGGGGCAGGGGTGCGAAGAATCTCCGGGAGAAAAAACCGGTGACGAGGTTCGCCACCCGTCACGTTCTGTCTCCCGGAGGGGC